GTAGCTGCTCGCATTAAATTCAAGGCATTAATGTTTGCCTACAAAACCACCACTGGCTCTGCACCCATTTACCTAAATTCATTACTTCAGAGTTATGTGCCCTCTAGAACCTTGCGTTCTGCAAGTGAATGGCGTATTATTGTGCCATCTCAAAGAGGCACAAAATCACTTTCACTGACTGTTCCCTCCTGGTGGAATGACCTGCCCAAATCAATCCGAGCAGCTGAGTCCTTAACCATCTTCAAGAAACGACTAAAAACACATCTGTTCCACCTTTATTTGACCCTTTAAGTCGAACACTTTCTATTCTATTTTATTTCTACTTTATCTATACTTATCTTCTTTTTTTATTATTTTTTTTTTAATTTAAAAACAAAAAAACAACACTAGCTTTTTATTTTTTCTATTATATCTACTTGTTTTTCTTTGTGTGTGTGTATAATATATATATATATTTTTTTTTTTACACCTTGCTAAGTGTACTGCGTTAGACTAATCGAGACTTGTCATTTGCACATATATATTGCTCTTTTGTTAGTTTTGACTGCTTTTATTGCCCTCATTTGTAAGTTGCTTTGGATAAAAGCATCTGCTAAATGACTAAATGTAAATGTAAATGCATATCCAAGCAAACTTGTGGACGCATAGAGTATAAATTAGCCTAAACCTCTGGTGGCAGTATTGTCAGTAGTGGATCCAGTATAAATGACCAATTCTTCCACATATCCAGTCAGCACATCAAACAAAACAAAAAACTTCAATCCAAATTGGTTTCTTTTTGTAGAGATGTACTGACTGAAGGCCAGCCTGCCTTTCCATTTCATCAGTGATTCATCCACACAGAGATCTTTATATGGGACAAAACATGACAAAAGGAGGTAACACCAGTAAATATGCTGTTTTTGTGCAGTAGATCATAATGACTAGCTCTCGCACTGTTGGTGAAGTGAAGGCAAAAGAGGAGGAGGAAGTGGTCCTGTGAAAACAGTGACCCGAAAAATTGGGTCTGCAGTAATGTATCGGTGCTCCAGCAATCCTGGACAGATGGTTTTCTGACAAGTCCCTTTAGAAGAACTTTAGAAGAGTTGAGACATACCAGCTCGTTTCCTCCACAATTTCTCCAACAAACTGCTCTGTAAAAAAACAGCTTGAAGCACTGGACCCCAGTGGCAGATGCAGGAGGAGTTTGCACTCCAGACTTTGAACTGTCAAAGGTGACATCAGGAGGTCCACGAGGAGTAAAGTCAGTATTTATGCCAGGGCTACAATTCAGGACTAGCCTATAGCGGCTGAATTAAGCAAACAAGTATCCCACCGGTAAAGTTTTGATGGATCACAACCGTAATCAAAGTAAAAACAATTACAATGGCATAAAGGAGTTGTATATTAGACTCTAATCTAATGTATGAATATGCTATACTGTAGGCTTCACATATGTAAAACCTAAAACTGTATGCTGGAAGGTTAAGGCGGCTGGTATAGTGGTCTGTTGACATCTCCATGTGGTCCTGTTTGGTATTACAGCTTGACTTGACATACATTGTGAATTATGAAAATGGAAAACATCATCATCACCCTTTTCATGTGTCTGGAAGTTGGATGGTGATGATGACAATACTAATTGTATTCATTTTTATCTTGTGTGACAGTGAAAAGGCCATGTCATGTCAACAACCTATGGGAGAGATTGAAAGTAGCCCATAGAAATACCATTTCTATAATACTTAATATTTCAATAATAACATGCTGTTTGTAGAAATAAAATGTCAAGAGTCTTCTTGATTTCACCCATGTTAGAAATTTTACTAGAAATTTACTCTATTCTTCTCCCAGTTCACTGGTCCACTTACTTTCATGTATTTTAGGAGAAATTGATACATTTACATGTTGTAAATCTAACAGATATGATTCTCTGAACTGCAGCTCAAACTAACACAACAGCACCTATTGCCGTGTGTCAGTTAAGAAGATCATTATAAATGTGTTTAAACAACAAAAATAGATACACTTACAGGGTATTTCCTGGGACAAAAATGGTCTTTGGTGGTGGCTAACAGACCCTACCCCCTACCCCATGGTTATACAACAAATAATAAAAAAAAAAAAAAAAAAATTGGTCATTGTAGTAAAACCATTGTTACTACAAAATACCTATGGTTTTGCTTTAACCCTCTACCGCATGGTGTGGCCATATGGCAACATCCTCTTTGTGTTCATTTCCTTGCCACTGTCTCTTTAAGAGAACATTTTTATTTTTTTGTTGTTTGAAAGAGAAGACCTTAGTTTAGCCAATGATGTGCTTTGATTAAGTCACATGACATGCATTTTTTTTCTGTGGCGAGATGTCTGACAGACTGCCGTCTCTTGTCGGTAGTTGCTGAAAGCAAACTAAAACGTCAGTAACAAACAAGGACCAGTTTGTGTCACTTCTACAAAGAAATCGGAAACATCACAGTTATGATGTTATGATGACATATTCACCTCTCAAAAAAGTTTTTATAAAATAAATTTTTGGTAAATAATTCAAATGTAT